ATACTGTTTATATCTTAGCATTTTCCATCATAGGCAGGGAGAGTTAACCATGATGCTTGTCCCCTGTCCCTGTCCTGCTTCACATCCACTGGGGGAAGTGTGGTGGGCTAGCAGCTCCTTTGGACCCTGACTGCCCCTTTGGACTCAGAGATCCATCCCTTCTCCATGCTGGGAATGCCTCCCCCCAGGCCTTAGACCCTCTGTGGCTGCCCAGCCCAGAGAGACAGGAAGTATGAGCCAACTGTGTTTGTACCACGCCCAGGGCCTCTTCTGGGAAAACACCAGGGAAATTTGCAGAAATTTTCTACTCAGCCCGGAAGACTTTCATTGTCCCATCAAAACCTCAAAAGTCAAAGGCAACTAATGAAACTGGGAAACACTCTGACGTGTTTGACTGGGGAGAATAAATAAACAGAATGACAAACAGGCCTTAATTACTCCAGGTCTGATACCTACCCCAGGGGAGGAACACTGGTTCTCCTCGGGAGTTACATCAAACCTTTCAGGAATTCATGAGGTAATATGACTCCAATGAAAAGCATCTCATTTGGGGTAGAGTCCCAAGAGTGCACTCTATTCCTAATTCAATCAGCAACACTGACTAGCTAGGTAACCTCAAGAAACCTCCCTAGGCCTCATTTTTGAACACTCTTACCTGCCTTACCCACCTCACAGAGTTGTAAAGAGGCTTAAACCATATGAGGGATGTTTCACCACCTCTTTGAAAACTATACAATTCTGTACAAACACAAATGAGCACATTATGTTGTTATTAGCAATCAAAACTTTGCCCTAATCATCTATCTAACATATATTTAGAAACTGATATGCTTCATAAGATGATACATAGTATACGTGATACATCTGTCCTGTATGACCAAAATAATATGCCATACCTTGATTATATTGCTGTTAGTTTTTAGCTTTGATATTTCAGACTTGGGCAAATAGAATTGCCTGATTAAGTGTCATTTCCGTTTCTTACTTGTGGGAACATAGGGTTTCTAAATGACTGTATTTGTTGTCTATACTGACCATGACAAACAAAGGCCATCTCTGGAGTGGAAAATGATGTCCCCATGTAACTCTTCCCTGTCGTGTTTTTAAGAGTCAATAAAAAGGCATTTAGTGCTAACACATTCTTGTTGAATTCTCAGTGTCCCTTGCTTACCGGTTGATGAGATTCCAGGAATCTTTCGTGCTGCAAGGAAAAGATCATCAATGGGGTCAACCAAGTGCTTGATGTCCACTTTCCTCGCGTTGTAGTAGTTGCCATCAGCGGCCCTTCCTGCACGCTCTATCGCCACCAGATGGTCGAATCTGCAAGCAAGCGAGGGCACAGAGTCCTTACGGAGAGTGTGGTCACCTCGTTGGCTCCCTCCTTTATTCTTTCTTTGATCCTTTCATTCCTATAGAACTTGCCTGAACATCTAGGTGGCAGGGCCTGTGCTGGGGGCTTGCCTATCAGATCATTTCAAGTGAGTGCATCAGAAATGGTAGCAGTTTATTAGAGTCAGAGGCTGTGCATGCAGAAAGGCAGATAGATGGTCAGGGTCACCACAGTGGACACTGCTGGTGCCCCACCTAGTGGGGTGCCAACACCCAAGATTTGAGTGTTGGCTGCGATTGGCCCACCACTGCCATCTTCTAGGATCTTGTTCAGTTTATGGACACAGAACAGACAAAAAAAGAACTGAAACAGAAGACAAACCAGTCGAGCCCAAGACAGAAAGAGATAGAGAGACAGGGCACAGAGAGCATGGCAGTAAGATTGTAGGCTCCAGTTCTGGGTTCTCCTGCTGCTGGTTGGGGGCAGCCACTTCAACTACCTGACCCTCTTCTGCTGCACCTGTCAGAAGACCTGACAGCAGGACCTGTTGTCTCATACAGTGTCAGGAGGGTTAAATGAGAGAATGTGGGAGGGTGCCTAGCAGGGAGCTGCACACCTACTCAGTGCTCAGTGGCTGTGGTTGCTATCATTATTAGGAGGACTATTGTTCTGATCATCCAATTTAAGCATATGAAAATTGCACTTTTAAAAATCTCTCCGAATTCCCCCAGGATGGAATTCTTTAAAGTCTTAACTCTGCTATGGAAAACTGTGTGGCGGTTCCTCAAAAAATTTAAAATAGAATTACCATATGATACAACAATTCCAGTCTGGGTATGTACCCCAAAGAACTGAAAGCTGGGTCTTAAAGAGATATTTGTACATCCATTTCATAGCAGCATTAGTCACCCTAGGCAAAAGGTGGAAGCAACCCAACTGTCTATCAACAATGGACAATATGCAAAATGTGGTATGTCCATATAAGGGACTACTATTCAGCCTAAAAAGGTAGGAAGTCCTGACACATATAACATTTTGCTAAGTGAAATGAGCCAGTCGCAAAGGGACAAACACTTATATGAGGTACTAGAGTCATCAAAATCCTAAAGACAGAAAGTGAAATGGTTGCCAAGAGCTGGGGGGTGGGGGAATAAAGAGTCATTGTTTCATGGGTGCAGTCTTCCAGTTAGGAAAGATAAAAAAGTTCTAGAGATGATGGCAGTGGTGATTACACAACAATGTGAATATACTTAATGCCCTTGAACTACACACTTAAACATGGTTACAACGGCAACATTTATGTTATGCATATTTTACCACAATAAAAAATCTTAACTCTGAATGCTTTCTCTATTCAGATTTTTTAAAAGACAATGTACATGCCTGTCATGTCCTATGCTTGTGCCAGAATACGGAGGCGTCACGTGTGAGGATGAGCCAGCCACTGAGTCAGTCTGGGAATGTAAACCTCAGGCTGCGCACCCAGGGCAGAAGAAGGGAGCCCCTGCAGAGCAGAATCCGCAGGAGGAAGGCGCCTGGGCCCTGCATTGCTTCTGGAGCCACATCAGGAATGATGACAATGGCTGTTTAGGACAAGAGCTCCAGTTGGGATCAATATGCCTTCTGATCCACAGGGAGAACACCGTTTCTGGACCTCCCCCTCTGGGAGAACTCAGTTATGTGCCTCTTGAAGGTGGACTGATTTTTTAGGACAGAAGGGCCCATTTAGCTATGGCAGGAAGTAATTCACTCCTGGGAAGAGTCCATGCATCTCCTGCAAAGAGAGCAGCATCCTCTCTCCCCGCAAACCACCTGGCTCACCTCCCTCCGCTCAGCAAACTGCAACACCTATGTTATCTGGCATCAGGGATCCCACCGAAGAGAATTTTCCAGCATCTCCCTGAGGATCCAGAGCTCTGTTTGTATGCCAACTGTTTGGAGAATATAAACATTTCTAACGTGCACCATACGCATTCTTGGAACTTGAAATAGCATATTGGATCCATAAACTTTTGCTTGGTGACTCAGGGTCCTCATTATGAACACCAGATCTGCTATGACCTACCATATAGCTGGGTCCTCTAGGCAGATTAAAGCAGGGTTTTTAAAGTCTAAGTGGACCCTGGTCAGTGGGTCATGAAACAAATTAGTCCAGGCCAGCATCCTCTGAAAAGTAGAAGAGAACACAACAGATGGAAATAGAAAAAAACAGAATACACCGCATATAGCGGGAGTCCGGACTGCCTTTTGAAACTTCCATTTCAGTTGTGTGCGTACGTGTACTGGTTTACAATGCAAAATGTGTTACTGAGGATTGTTGTCAAAACATTTGTGAAACACTGTATTAGAAGCTACAAGATCTGAAATATATTTCTACACGTGATAAAGTATTTTTCAGAATGTGTGACCACAACACACAGTAAGAAATACAAACACAGTTTCACCAGAGTTTTTACCATCCTATGTAAGATACACAATGATATTTCTACTTCATTTTCCCAAGGTGCTCATTACCCCCCATGAAATGATCTAGCTCTCTAATGGGTCATGACCTAGACTGAGAAATTGCTAATTTCTGTTTTCAGACTTTTCTATAGTCTCCCTCTTTCAGGAACACACGCCATTCTCAGGGACCTGACAGTTCCAGAGCCCCTCTGCGAACCCCCAGACTTGGTTAGTCTGGCCCGTCAGCACCTCTGGGCCCACAGCTCTGTTCTCTCTGGAGGACTGAGGTGCGCAGAAGCTTTGTTGTTAAAGTTAATGGGGTCTGTGTGGGCTTTTCCCCCACCACCCACTTAAGCCAGATGGACACACATACCTCGGTGACTGGGGGTCCCCGTCTTTGCAGAGAAATGCCTCAGCAGCTCCTGCCGGTCCACCTGGGAAAGTTAATAATGGAACTTGTGTCTTCAGGACGCCTTGAAAACAGAGGCAAAGGGTGGACACATCAGCCCTACTGCTGCATTTTTGGAATTGATGTTGGCTTTTCAAAAGCTTCCTTGCAAAGTACCCTTACCATTACAGAATAGCAGCTCCCTGTAGAATACTTTGTTAGGTAAGCCAACACCTCACACAGAGATACCTAAGCTTACTTTTAGTCCTGAGTAAACCCCGGGTTTGGCAGTGGTGGGGAGAGTGGGGAGTGACTTTGTGTAGGGATGGAATTGGGCTAGTGTCCCCAGTATGGTGGGCTAGCAAATCTGCATGTAGGTACCCATAATACAATGTGGAAGGAGGTCTGTTTTGGCCTGCTTTCATTGTGAGTGCTGGGGACACATTTAGGTGCCCATGGTGACAGCGAGCCAGCCTTCTGCTAAGCACATGGCATGCATGCTCTCATTTAATTTTCACAGCAATTGTGTGTGAGAAGCATTATTATTCCCATTTTACAGAGGAGGAAAACTAAGGCCCAGAGATTCTAAACAACTTGGGCAAAGACAAGTATGTAGGTCAGTGTCACGACTCCACGTTCTACCCCTTGTTCACATCCCTCCCCACCCCTGCCTCCCTGCATAGCTTCAGGAAAGTTCAGGAACAATAGAGGAAAGGTCCCAGAGTCTGGGCCTTGAGTTGGGTAATGGTATCAGTCTGGTTTCCAAATGCATTTGACTCTTAAAAATAGCATCTTTTCTAATTACAATAATAACATATGTTATTGTACAACCCTATATATTATATATCAATAGTAGTATAATATGTGTTATGTAGACATGTTATATATAGATATATATGCATATGTATACAATAATATATGTTATTGTAGAATATGTGGAAAACACACACAAATCTCAAAGTAAAGCTGACTTGGTGTTCATTAACCCATCTACCTCCCTGCAGTCTGGGGTAGAATCCTTGCACATTCACTGGCCCAGGACAGTCTTCTCCATGCAGAGTGAGAGACAGCTAACAGCCCAGGATGGGGGGCTTGGACCCAACACTTAGGGTCCCACTGGTTCTGCAGGAGCACCTGCACTGCTCTGTGGCCCAGCAGGGGTGCCAAGGATCAGCCTGGGGGAGCTCTGGCCACCTCCACAATCATCATCAACCCACCCCTCACATAAAGCCAGCCCAAGTAAACATGCAGTCTGCATTAACACCACGTGCTTGTATTATAAACATGGCTTTAGCACAGCTGCTTCTCACCCCAGCTTCACCATGTGGTCACCCAAAGCCACCCCCAGTCAGTTGATGGCACACATTGAGGGCAGAGGAGCCAGAATCATTGTGAGAGGTCCTAAAGTGTCCCCACGTGGCTGCCTGGGGCATCCCTCCCCAGCCCTGTCCCATGTCAAAGGGGGAAAGACAAGGAGAAGGCATGTGGTCCATCAGGGGGGGATCACCGAGCACATTATGCAAGCTACGGAATGGGAGGGGGTGCGGGTACATCAATCCGGAAGACCCTGTGCCCCTTTGTGCCGTGGGGAGCAGCCTGGTGAAGCAGAGACCAAGCTGAATAGAGCCAAATGACCTGGATGGGAAGCAAGAGCTCCCAGCTGTGTGGCCCTGGGCAAGCCAGGGACACTATGAGCTTCCTCTCCTGCAAAATGGGGCAATTTGTACCCATCCCAGGACTGCTGTGGGCGCAATGATGTGATGTGTGCCGAGCTCTGAGCTGCAGGCCTGGCCCATAGTAGGTGCTTCATAAAGGCTAGTGATTTCTTACTGCCTTGAAATTGGATGGTGGACACAGGCTGTTAGCAAGAAGTGGTACCAGGCAGGGGACATAACGTATCCGCAGTTGGGCACAGGGAGGAAGAGCCTCTGAAAAGGAAGGCAGGGCAAGATGGGCCCCGAGCTACAAAGAACCAGTTCATCAGTGTGGTCAACTGATGCTCAGGACAGGGGAGAGATGACTGAGCTGCTGCTTCGGACATTTCCTAGGCTTTGGTTTTAAAATGAACTGAAGTAATTTTCATTAAAAGGCCAAATCATTTTAACTTTCTTCACTCACATGTAACGAAGATTCTGCAAAAGCCCACCCAGCAAACCCCACCCTCTAAGCCGCCGCGTGTGCGGGCCCCGGTGCTCAGCTGGGGCCCAGTGGAGGCCTCTGAGCCGGGCGGCCAGGCAGGCAGGGAGGGCAGGGGGGCTTCTGGGAAAGTGGGCGGCTAAAGATATCCACCATGCCAGCTGTCAGAGGGAAAGGACTGTCAGCCTGTTGGCAGCAGCTGGCAGAGTCGGTGAGGACAACACGCTGCCCCGGGTTGCCTCCTGCCTCGGCCCTGCTCCTTCTTGGTCTTCCTGGCTGGCTCCCCATCTTCTCCTCTGCCTCTCAACATAGAGCACCCCAAGGCACAATCCTGGGGCCTCTTCTCTGTCTCCGTTTAGCCCCTTGGTGATCTCATCCAGTGTCCTGACTTTGAAGGCCATCAATCCGCCAACTGCTGTCCCATTTATCTTCCCAGCCCAGCCTGCTCCCCTGAACTTGGCTCATAGATCTCACTGCCTACTTGACTTCTCCCACTTAACAGGCTCAAACCTGCACTCTTTAAAAGAATTTATAAGAATTGTCATTGTGATAAAATACCTACCATCTTAACCATTCTTAAGTGTACAGCTCTGGCTGTTAGCCCATGAATGCTGTTGCTTGATCATCCCTACCATCCATCTCCAGAACTTTCACATCTTTCCAAACTGACTGCGCCCATTAAACATTAACTCCCCATTCCCCGAGGCCCCGGCCCCTGGCAGCCACTGTTCTGCTTTCTGGTCCTATGACTTCAATGTCTCTAGTTATCTCTTGTAAGTGGAGTCATGCAGCATTTTTTCCTTTGTGACCGGCTTACTTCACTCGGCATGTCTGCAATCCTGTGTCAGGGTTTCCTTCCTTTTTAAGGCTGGTAGTCTGTCGTTTGCACGCGTCACATTGCTTATCCGTTCATCCGTTGACAACACTCAGGGTGCCTCCACTTGTGCCTTGTATGTTATGAACATGGTGTACGGATACCTCCTGGAGACCCTACCTTCCCTTCTCCTGGGTGAACAGCAGAGGTGGGACCGCTGGATCTTCCGGGGTTTCTCTTTTAGTTTAGGAGGAGCCGCCGTGCCGTTTCCACAGTGGCTGGCCATTTCCCGTCCCCACCGGCAGTGTCCTCCCCGTGACGGCAGCTCCACCCTCTCAGTCATGCTGCCAAAAGGCTCAGAGCGCCACGGGCCTTCTGCCTCCACCCGCACCCACCCGTCCTGGGAACCGTGGCTCTGCCTGCACGATGCAGGCAGGTGTGGTCACCTCTCTCAACCACCACCCGTGCCATTTGGGGGCCCCCAAAACCAGTATCTGAGCCAAAGACTGGGGTCAGGTGACTTCTCTGGGAGATGATCCCAGGTGGCAGGGGGGTGGGGGCAGGGAAGGTGGGGACGGGGAGGAGGAGAAGCCAGGAGGAGGGTGCGTGCATGTTCAAGGCCACTGCTCCAGGCAGTGGGGTCTCCGTTCCACAGGGACCCATGTGTCTCCAAGAAGAGCCCCCCAACCACTAGTTAGCAGGCATAGCCCCCATATTTCCAGGCTGAGTAGTTTGCATAATTTTGGAGAACCCCCACAGGGCATAGGCTTGCGGTGGGGCCTGGTCAGGTCAACGTGACTCAGAGCTCCCAGCCCAGCTGCAGCTGAAACCACACGGGGCCAAAGAGATGTGCTACAGGGCCCCATACGCTGCAGGCCGCCTCGTCCCCCACTGGCCACACCTGGCTGGTCTGCTGCTTCCACCCTGTCCCTACTGCTCCCTGTGTCATCTTTTAAATCCTAAGGCAGAACATAAGTCTTCTCTGCTCAGGGGCCGCCCAGGGCTCCCCATCCCACCCAGAATAGAAACCCAACTGCTTACAGTGTCTCTTGAGGCCCTTCCTGGTCTGGGCCCTGTGACCTCTGCCCCCCCCATCCAGCCTCTGTTCTCCTCATTCACTCCAGGCCAGTCGGCTGGCTGGTTGCCCTTTCTTAAGCTGGCTGGGCCTCCCGGCCACCTCATGGGCTCTGCCCTGGCCATCTTAACAGCCTGGGACTCTCTCCTTCATCAGCTTCAAGTCTTGGCTCAAAGGGCACCTCCCCCAGGAGGCCCTCCCTGACCATCTCATTTAGAATAGCACCCTCCACCTGGCCCGTCACTCCCACCCCCACCCCCATCCTCCCCACCTTCTACTACACTGTTTATAACCTTTTATTTTATTTAACCTGTTGTTTAAGGTCTGCCGACTTCCACTAGAACACACTCTCCTTGAGGGCAGGAGGTTGTCAGTGTTTGTTGTTCATCCATGGATCTCAAGAGCCTAAAATAGTGCCTGGCACATGGCAGGTACTCAACACACATTTGTTGCATGAAATGGACTCTGTGTGTTCAGACACAGCCTTCTGAGACTTCCAATGTAATAATGGGTGCTTTAAGTTACCCCTTACTGGGGTTGAAGCCCTAAAGAAAGCTACTTCTCTGAAGACTGCATTTTGAGGAACACAGAGAGACAGGCAGTAGGAAGCAGTCAGTTGCCAGGCTCCCAGCTCATGGCTGAACAGCAGCTGCAGAGGAGACATGAGGGGCAGCAGCTCATGCTGCACCTGAGACCCACCTTGGTACACAGCCAGCAGCCTCGAGGCCCCACACCAGTAACACTTGCAGCTCTAATGCCTACCTGGGCACCTGGGAAGCTGGGCAGCATGGGGCAACCCTGACCATTTGGGCCTGTGGGACACTGGTGTCTGAGCCTCTCGTTCACTCCGTTCTCAACTATCCCACCCCCAACTCTGGGGCTCAGGGCTGTCCTGGGTTGCTGAGAGTTCTCGGCAAGCCGCCCTGCCTCTCATAGGGAGGGCAGCAGGTGCACAGCGGGATGGAGGGCTCTGGAGCCTGGTGGCCCTGTGCTCCCACTGTAGCTCACCATTGCCTCTGGAGGAAATCACCTCTAGGAGCCTCAGTCTCTTCATCTATAAGAGGGGGATAATGCTGAGTTGTCTGGGCTTTAAGGAAAAACCAAGAATTGTCTGGGCTTTAAGGAAAATGCCCCATGTCAGGTGCGCAGCACTGTGCCTGGGGGCCCTGTGGCAGTCCGGCAAACACTGATTCCCTCCACCCTCCTCCCACAAAGGCCATTTAGGGAAACCGACTGCCCCCATCTGCTGCTCACCGTGCTCAACAGCCTCTTCGACAAGCTTCTTGAACAAATCCAAGGCTCTCTGGTCAACCATCATGGAGACCCCCTTCCCTAAGGCCTGCAGGAAGGCAGCCAGAGCAATGGCCCCCGGGGGACCATCTGTCTCTTCCGGAGGCTCTCGGGTGAAGTGCGTGGGAAACCCAGTGGTGATAAGAACTGAGCGGGCATGGGACAGAGACAGGGAGGCCCGCAGCAGGTCATCTTCACAGAGCAGGTACCCAATTCCCCGACTGCCTGAAATTACAAAAAGGTAGAGTAAAATAATAAAAAAATGTAACTGAGTTTCTACTTACACGAACAATAATTTGGTTGTCTGTTTCAGAAGTTGACGTGAGGGCTATGCAGACTGCTGATTGCTCACCAGAAGGCATTCCCCCCCACCCCGCCCCCAGCAGGAGAGCTGGGTAAATGGCTCACCAGCCTCCCTGTTCACTTAGGTGTGGCTACAACAGTGGCTTCTCTCCAAGGAACGTGAGTGGAGGTGAGGTGCATGCATGCACCACATCGTCCCGGCCTGGCCACGCGCCTCCCGGGAGGGGCTGGGATATTGACAACTAGCGCCCCCTGGGGGTCACGGGGTGTGATGGCACAGCTCCTGGGTCCCGGGGTGGCTGGGCGAGGAGATCCCACCTGCTGCTGAACTAGCTCACTCCCCTGGGAAGACCTGCCCTGGGCTGTTGCACTAGAGAGGCACACACTTCTGCTGTATTTGAGCAAAGCAGCTTGGGGTTTATTTGTCATATCAGGTTAGCAAAGTCTAATACAGGGACTCAAGGAGAAGGAAGGGAAATAGTACCGCCTTCGTTGGGGATTCCCCAAAAGAAGCCCGTGAGACTAAGACAAATACAGAGATGCAGGGACTTCAGTGGGAAGTGAGCCCAAGAGACAAGTCAGCAGCCCCGGAAGTAAGACATTAGTCTCGCTGGAGGCCCTCTGAGGAGCCGCATGGCACACAGCTCGGCAATGTCCGCCAGAGGACAGGGACACTGCCATGTACGCACCAGCCCCTGCCCCGCTGGGTGCAGATGCCTCTGATGGAGGGTCTGGGGGTCCAAGAACACCCTCACGTGGAGGAGCAGAGTGACCTGAGCCTAAGGGGAGCTGTCATGCTGGGGAACCGCCTACAGCTGCTGGGGAGCCCAGGGCATGGATGGGTACCAGCAGCATCCACGAGGATGTCCACCAGCGGCTGCTGCACTCGTCCCTACTGGGCAGCACAGCTTCTCAGCGCTTATCACATATCATTGGTCCTTTGTCCACCCTCAGGTGACCTCAGAACCTGTCTGTGCCCTGGGAAGGCAGGATGGGACTCAGAACTTCCACCCCAGCTGTGGCTGAAATGAGAGGGGGCCTAAGAGACAGGAGAGGATGTCAGCTTGCATTTGAGGTGCCTGGAGAACATGAAGGACACAGGGCTTGTTATGGAGGAACAGTTCCAGATGTAGAATCTAGTGGGCGGCCCATTGGAGTCGTGTGGCCAAATGAGTTGTTAATAATGGTGAATTGTGATGGGATTCTGGCAATTTCTATTGTGTCTTACTTCCATATGTTTTCTGATGCTTCTACAGTGGGCACAAGTTACTGTTGATAAATGGGGAGAGGAATAACAACATCTTAAAAGAAAAATAGGGAGGTAACCCTTGGTGAGCACCAAAAGATGGAGGAGGGGAGAGAGAATTTTGTCAACTTTAAAGCAGGCTGTGCATTTATGATGATTTTATTACCAGGGAAAACACCATTACTACACACCTTGTATTCCTTCCTAATTCCAGGCATCTCAAATGCAAGCCAATGTCCTCTCAAAAATGACTGAGTGAGTGGCTCTATTATTATGCACAGTGAGTAATGCTCAGTACATGGTCATGAATCTTATAGCTATTTATTTAATATAGTAGGAATTAGAGCATCCGCTGTTCTTGAGGGTCTTTAAGGATGCTCCTTCACAGACAATATTGGCACATTCAGACAGTCATAAATCTGCTTCTCCCCCAAGCCCCATGCTTCAAGTCTTGAGAGTCCGTACAAGGACTGAAGGTGGGTGTTGACAACTTTTCGGATCATTTTTATGAAGCAATGGGTGAACCATGTGTGCAGTAAATTTACTTCCCAGTTACCTTCTTATCTGAGCTAATGGCACAATTAATAATTCATCTTCTCTCATGACCCTTGTGCTGAGTGGGAGAGCTGTCAGCCTGGGTAAGAATCTTTGTGAAGGAGAAAGTATTGCAGAAATTTTTTAAAAATTCACCTATGTAAGAGACTGTATGTATACTTACTTATGAGCATATGTATATGTCCTAAGAGGTGCATGCATCTGTGGGGAGCACAGATCCAAACTTTACTGTCTGTTGGTAAAAGAAACCATATTCTATGCAGAATAAATGAGTGAATGAACAAACAACCTACCAGACGAATAAATGAGCAAAAAGCCACGCCCTGTGGTTTCAAGGGAAGTTTTGTTACTGCAGAACCCCTGTAACTGGGGGGCACCTTTGCTCCCAGGCTCAGGGGAGAGATCAGACATTTTTAAGGGTGGTCTGCACGGTCATACTCTTGGCATGGTGTTTGCCGACACAAAAGGGCACCAGGCTTTCGGCTCTATGGCCCTGCCCGGTGCTGCTCTCTGCACTGATAATCAGCCCTGCCTGGGTCCTGGAAGTCTGGCCCAGAGGACTGACCTCCCCAGGGTGGCCTCTCCCCTCAGCTCTCCACGGGGCCCCACCACCATCATTCTAGGCATCTGCTTGGGAAGCAGGTGTCAGATGGGCTGGCCGGGAGGCCACATATGCCTGCTCCAGACATTCAAAGTGCAAAGGCCAGCCAGTTCTAGAATCACAGCCCATGAGGAGGTGCAGAAGAGGAAATGGGGTGTGAGCCTGGAGAGACTAGAGCACTTTCATAGCTGCCCAGGTGAGACTGTGACATACCATTTAGACTCAGATTCCAATTTACCCAACACTTAATTGATCATGGGCCTTGGAGTCACTGGGTGTGAGTTTAAGCTCTGCCCTGACTGTCTACTACGTATGTGGACTTGGGCAAGTTTCTTAACCTTATGTGCCTCAGTTTCCTCATCTGTTAAAGAAAGTTAGTAATAGCTGCCGCATAGAGTCATTGGGAGAATTCAACAAGATGAAACGTGTTTTAGCACATGTCTGGCTGAGAGTAAAACTAAGTAGTTGGTAGCTGTTATGCTTATTGCCTATCACAACCCGAAGAGGGAGTATAATTGTTATTTATAACTGTTATTATTCCTGTTGTGCTGATAAGGAAACTGAGGTGGGAGCCCAGCAGTGAAGTCTACACCTTAAAGCCCGCTGAGACTTTACCAGCAGATGGATTGAATTTAGCACGCACAGCGGCGCCCTCTGCTGGCAGCAAAGGATTAGAAATTAAGCTTGATGGAGCTGGAAATTAAAAGCCCTCAACCAACTTTCAGCTAACCTTGTCCTAACGGGAACCAGCAGACCCCTAGGGATTCCACCAGCCCTATCCTATGTCTAGAAAGCCAGCAGCTTGTAAAGCACAGGAGTGCTGTCCTTTGAGACACAACGTACAATAAACATGTCAGCTACAGGCTGTTGTGAGATGGTCCCTGCAGGGTCTGGCCCCACCAGGATCACCGAAGGACCACACCCCTGCTGCCAGGAACAAAAAATGGCAATGGCACAAAAGAGGAAGATTAGGGACATCTTAAAGACACGGGTGACTTTGTTTGAATGGTGGCAGTTGACTACCTAAGAACCATTCTCCCTTTGGTTCTTACTCATTTAACCCCAATTTAGCTCTGGCGGCAATGGGCCCAACTAACAAGCGTGCTTCCCTTACTCCCCCACATGTTTAGTGTTTAAAATTTAGGGGGGAACATAAAGAAGAAAACAAAAATCACCCATAATTGCACTACCAAGAGATCATGACCATCCATATTTTGGTGCATTTATTTATTTGGGGCATTCATATATGGTATAAGCATTTAAAACAATCATACTATAGATGCAGTTTGCATAATATTGAACATTATACCAGCGATGGATTTCTCCAGGCCATTAAGGTGTGAATGCTTTGTTTCTTACCTGGGTCTAAGGCAATTAGAGCCTCAAGTTCTCTGATCTTCTGAATGGCTGGTGCTGATGCAATGCTGTAGTGCAAAGGATCTTGGGAAATGCAGTGGACCTCTGGAATTCCTTCAGGAGTGAGACAGCTGGCTGGACCCTCTGTATTCTTCAGGCTGGTCAGAACCATGCAACCTGGCGCACTGGTAAAAGCCAGTGGGGTCCCTAAAACACACAAAGGACAACTGAGCCCCCTCAGTCAAACCCAGTCCATTCTCACTAGCCCATGGCTGAGGGACAAGATGTTGCCAACAGCACTCCCTCTACTGCTTGGTGGTACCAGGTCAGAACAAGTTGACTTATGGCTAAATCAAGTGCCACTTGAACAGGTGCCTACCATTTGTATGGGAAGAGAAGTGGGGTACAGCTACAAATAGAGCTCTAGGAATTTCCATCAGTTTAATCCCAGGGATATCAGAAAGTACTTACTGAACTCTTAAAATGCATGGGCCATCTTGCTTTACTTTGCAGTATAGTTAGAGTTGCCCTTGAGCATAGCTTCTATTATTCTCATAGTACTTATATTTTGCTTTGGTTTATGCTTATTTTGTTCTTTAAAAAACTCTCTTACTAGACTCTGGGAAACGTGAAGCCCTCTGGCATGGCTGTTAAGAACATGGCAAACACACTTGAGTTTCAAAATATGCAACTCTATCCTTTCTAAACCTGTTTCCTCAACTATAAAATAATGACAATGCCTCTTATGATTGTCATCAGAACTCAGCTGGAAAAGGTACATAAAAGTGTTTAGCAAAGTGCCTGGTCCAGAGTAAGCCCTTGATAAATGATGGTTTGTGTTACTGAACCAGACACTGTATCTTACACATTCTGTGTCCTTGTGCCTGGCCCATTAGGTGTTTAATACTTACTCTACAATATTACACCTTCTGCCCTCATCAATATTATCCTCAAGTACTCTAACCCACTTTGCTGTGTGCTCCCAGAGAAGAGGGACCATTGCTTATGCATTTCAGAGTCCCCCATAGTGCTTTGCATATAAAAGGGGCTAAATAAATGCAGGTGTGAACTGAGTAAATAACAGTGTCTTGGATTTCACAGAAAGCAGTTACATTCTTCAGATCTAATAGAAAGCCAAGTCAGCCAATACTTCAGAAGGAGAACTACTGATAGTTGCATAAAGCATTCTAAATCTTTAGATGGTGAATAACTAAGAATTTTGATGAACACAATCATTTTTCTGTGTTTTGGACAGCACCCAATATCAGCCACTCCAATGCCAGGTATACATGAGAACAGTCAGCTCGGAGTGTGAAGCGGGGTTTTGTCCTGTCAGTTGTGAGGTATGTAGCATCTAATCTACTGCTAATAGAAGTTTAAGTATTGAAGTTTGAGTGATTTTTATAAATGAGAAAGATTAAAGGTTGTCCCTGACCAGTGATGTCATCTGGTCTCATTTACAATCAAATATGCAATTGCAAGCTAGAGCCAGAGTGCTGAAGTGTCGTGGTGGCGAGGCCCCTGCTGCAGGGCATCCTCTGTGACCAGTGGCAGGAAGGGGGTGAGACACTGTGCTGGATGTGTGTACACAAATGAGCCACACACACACTCGGAAATGACCACAAGCCCTGAGAACCACACCTTGTCTCATGCAACATTTCATTCCCAAGATCTGGGCCCATACCTGGCACATAGCAGCTGCCCAACTCATTTATGGTAAAAAAACAAGTGAATAGAATCCCAAGGATCTTGGCATGAATGTCCCTCACCATATTAGAGATCATCTTCCCCTATCATGAAGCCATACTGATAGTTAAATTTTCATGAATGCTTTCAAAATAAAGTAACACTAAATTCTATGATTTGTAGTGCAAATGTGGCTGACCTGGCTAAAATTTTCCAGCGTCTATAACAATGGGCTGCATTCCTTGTTATTTTTAAGGTTTCACTTCCCTAATTTACTGTGAGCTGGTAGGGGTGCCCTCGTGTGTCTCTGTCTTGTAGTATCACCCTAGGCCTGTGATAAAATGAACTGACGTATTGCTTTCAAATCCCTTGCAGATACTGTGAAACGGTTTGTTTGGTCGTGTTTGATTGCCTTCACCTTTCAAAACCCACCAACCTCCAAATATCTCAAAAGGTCAAGCTAAATATTGGTCTTTCTGTTAGAATGGGCTGTGAGCCTTCTGCCAATAGAAATATATTTCATCAAAATGTGTTTGAGCTTTGAGACAGGTGGTACGGTGAGACCCAGGCCTGGGATCAAAAGAATGAAGTCGGAGAGGCATTCGCTGCAGACTGCAGGACTATGTTTTGAATTTTGTTTTATGATTTTATTTCTTAAATCATTACACTGTAAGACTATGCTTTCAAGAACTAGAGGCCCACCAATTTGCATCCTAGGTTAGGGTAATTGCCCCCCTTAAGCCCAGACGTACTGCAACTGCTGACAGCTTCGAGACTGGTCATCTGAGAAGGCCAGAACATGGGGACATCCCCTGGCTGACACACCAAAGGGTCCCCGTAGTCAGGTTTGGCAAGATCTTTGATTCCTAACAGTTCTGCAAATGAAGAAAGAAAGTGGCTTCCATCAGATCCTGCACTGGCAGGCACCATCCAAGCTGCACACGTGAGTAGTTTATGCTTCTGTCCCCAAGAGGAGCCCCAGGCATGGGACTGCTGTACGGGGTATCAGAGCAGAAGGTGGAGGAGAAAAGGAGCCAGGACTTGTCAGTGCAGGATGCTTACTAACTGCTAGTCCATTGTGAGGGGTACAGTTCAGAACACAGAATCTCAAAGCCTTGGTGTGATTTCTAGAGGAGTCTGGGTGCATTTAGCCCAACACCCTCATTGTAAAGATCATACAGATTGCTAACAGCCAGCATCTGTGAGGTTCCATCTTGGTACAGACGGAGTCACATAACACAGACCTAAACTCTGCTGCTTGACCACTGACAGCGTCCCTGTCTCTCTCTGGCCAGGCAGCAGAGCGCTCAGCACAGATGATGTGTCAGGCCCAGCCCCTCCCCACTAATGACAGAACAATTCAGCAGACTTTGCTTTGGGTGGTCCTAGGATCATCCTTCTAGAAGGAAAGCGGCAAGTGCAGATTGCATCTTTACAGAATGCCAGGTGTTGTCTGATCTTGTTTGTTATACAGCCGAGCGAGTTCAGTTACACCGAACTCTGCCTCTCACCCAAGGCCCAGTCCCAAGCTCTCATCCGGCCCCCTGGCAGCCTCTAAGGGGCCTCGCAGCTGCCACGCTGAGATCTGCTCACTCATTCTCAGGCTGATTTAATACACTGGGGATCAGTGGATTTCAGTCCACGTTAGCATTTGGAATGAAGCCTTCCACTGCCCAAATATGCCACTGAGTGACAGCATAGCTTAGAGGCTGCACTCATCTCAAATCTCTGAACAAACATCTCTGCTGCCTCCCCCCACCACCTGCTTCTACCACCCCAGGTCCACTTGAAGTTCACAGGAGCCACTGGTGAGGCTGACTATTCTAAACCTGAAGGACATCTATAAACCCAGCCCTAACACTGTGCAGGGCTCTGAGTCTAGTCCAGGACCACTGGGACCCCTGGGAAAGATGAGGACAAGCCAGGGCAGCTCAGGAGCAAAGCAAGTTCCTGTGTTCTTTGTGCTGGACTCCAAGGGCAGCTGTCAGAATCATGAATGAGAGTGGACACTCACCTGGGTCCCCGATATGAATGGGCTGTCCCTCCGCCCCCATGGAGCAACAGGCCTGCACCAGCTCTTCCAGCTTGTCCTTGGGAATGGGCCTCATTGTGACCACCAGAGGGCAGCAAAAGCCAGCCACGGTGGCGCATGGCACTGTCGTCTGACGAGAAATCAAGTAAAGCAGGTTAAAAAATAGAATGAGCGCAGATTGAAGCCCCGAGGAACAAGAGTTCAAGGCAGCTGAATGAAGAAGGCGGGCCAAGTAGCTATTATAAAAATATAACTTCTGCTTTTATGCGGCATAGAAATGAGAAAGTTTGCTGGTAATTGGTCTGGAACAGAGACTCTTAATTTTGTATATGCTGGGCACCCCATTGGTAGCCTGGAGCAGTTATGGACCCCCACGCAGAGCAATGCATCAGATTACCAAGGAAACCAGTTATCTTACAAATGCAGGTATTGAATTATGAAACAGTGTGATACAGACATGTGTACGCTTCTTCATGAACAGTTTAAGGAACAAGATGGCAGGTCTACCAGTATAATTCTGAAGCAGTGATCAACATTAGGATATCCTATTTCTGAGATGTCAGGAAGGACTGGGATGTGGCATGAAAATACCTGTGATTTCCTTGGGCAGCCACAAAGTCACAGGGTCTGCTGATATGACTGCACTTTGTTGCCTGCATTCATAATTGAAGGAAACGCTCAATTATAGTTGGAGGCTATGAAAATAAAAATGTAGTTTTTTCCCACCCAATTCCATGTACCCTCTGAATTGTCTCCACTGACCTCAAGAGGCCCATGGACCTCAGGTGAAGATCTCTGGCAGAATCGGAGGCCAAGGGACCCAGGGCAGCAGGGACCTCGCAGGAAGCACTGGGGTCTGCTCTGCCGCACAGGGAAAGAGGCCTGTGCCCAGACCCCTCTCCCCTGCTGAGGCACTCCTCCTGTCTTAAGGGAAGTTGCCCGGATGACCCGAGTGACTTTCAGTGGTGGTGGTATTTTTTTCCCCTGACTGGTTTCTAGTCCCTGCAGTGGGGCTTATGAAAGATTTAGGACATGGGCAGGATGATAATCCACTGGGACAGTCTTGGCAGCTGCCTGAAGGGCTTGCTGTTAACACTAAGCGGGGAGCAGAATATGGCTCCCCAAAAATATACCACTTTGGCATATGGATTATCTTGCATTAAAGTTACTTGAGAAGCGCCAGTGCAGGAAGGACACTCTGACCTCCTCTGTCCCCCTGAAAGCAGGAAAGAAATCTCCCCTGTGAGAGGTCGTCTCCCTGTACCAGGAGAGCAGAAGGCGTCCTTATCAGCAGAGACAGGGAGCTCAAGGCTGAGGAAGCCGTATAAATCAGCCTTGTCACTTGGCTCATTCACCACCCGGAGCCCACACGCCCTTGTCTTGTCAATTCTTCACAAATCTGTTGTTTCTTTGTCCAAAAAGTATAAAAGCAGTCTCATATTTCTATAGGAATGTTCTCCTGTACATATGATATTACATATTTTTCTCTTGTTAATCTGTCTGACATGTCGGTTTAATTATTAGACCAGCCAAAGAAAGTAGAAGGGAAGGAGGGAAAAGTTTTCCTCCCTGGGGCACCCTGGCTGTAGCAGAACCAACCTTGGCGTGCCTGCCAGTTTGGGGACTAAATCACAGCACTTGGAAGGAGCACGTGCCAGGGACTCCCAGAGGGGACAGGCAGTGCCCCCCAAGGCTGTGATGCCTCCTTCTCGGGGTCTTCAGCCCCTGAGGACCTGACGGCCCTGGGGTGGCCACTGGCCCTTTCTCGTGAGCTGACAGGCAGGGGTGTCCCTATTAAACTGCAAGCAGCTGGGTGACCACGGGGGGCAGTGAGGTGTTGTGGAGAAACCAAGGCTCTTCTGAGCTCATATTATGGGCAGTTTGAGCATCTCTGTGCAAAGTGTCATTGCATCATGACATCTCTTCTACTGACATTTTATTGATGGGAGCCAGGAGTGCTGGCTGCCAGCCCGGCTTTGGGGCTTGAACAAGCCCTTTTCCCTCTCTGGGCCTCGCTTCCACACCGATGATAGGCTGTGCATGAATGGTGGTGTGTTCCAGGCTCAGACCCTGCCCTGGGCCTGGCCAGCAGCCACAGTTCTGCCCCCACCCTTCCCCACCTTCCAGAAAACGGCTCAGGCACGTATTTCACCCGTGAAAAGCAGCACATGCTGTAGGCAGCCTTGTTTCTAGTCAGAGGCAGCTCAGGCCTGTCTGGCAGGAGCCCAGACCAAGCGAGATTTAATAGATGTATCCAAGACAAAATCTCCACTTGGCATCTTCTGTAAAGAAACCTGGAGTGGGCTGTGGGCGCTGGCTGACCATCCACCCAGCAGAGTGACTTCCAGGGCCTGACACAGATGTCCTGGAAGGGGTCCGTGGAATGAGGGAACCTAGTTCTCTCCCCTGACAAGTAGCAGCTGGAATTAAACCTCAGGACCCAGCAGGGAGGCAGCAGGCATGTCCCAGGAGAGGTGAGCACACTGCATCTGTGGCCACCAGCGGCCACCTCCAACCGAGAACATGACCCAGCTTTTCTGACAGAGACATAACTCAGCGGCCAACAGCCTGGCTGAGGCTCTGTCACGAATGCCCGGGCCTTCACCCAGCCAGGCACATATTCCCTGATGCCAGGAAGTTGGAGCCAGGGAGGATTTTCAAAAACCTCACTGAGCTGCCCTAAGTTAAAGGAGCCAGACGAATTCCAAACAGGTTTGGTTTACATGCCTCAACAAGCTGTCTCTAAAGGGCTTGACTCGCTCTCAAGGCCACAGTTCTGCCCCCACCCTTCCTCACCTTCCAGAAAACTGCTTAGGCACGTATTTCACACGTGAAAAGCAGCACATTCTGTAGGCAGCCTTGTTTCTAATCAGAAGCAGCTTGGTTTACAACAATCCCAGAGGCGGGCAGGGGAGAAGCTGGCGGTCCCATTCCCATTGTCCAGATAAGGAAACAAGCTCAGAGAGGCTGACCACTTGTCCTGGGTTGCACAGCTAACAAATGGTTGAGTTGGGGTGAGAACTTAGGTCTCCTGCCTCCTGTGCCAATATTCTCCCCTCCAAAAGAAAACACAAGATGGTCCACATTGCCAAGCCACTCTGCCCTGTGGATGGTGTCCCTACCTTGTATGCACCTGCGTGGCCATGGCCTGCTGGGTCTCCTCTGGGGAGCCCCACCTGCTCCAAGGCCCCTTCCAGCGAGGAGCTGCAGCCCAGGAGGAAGGCCACCATGTCCTTCAGCTGCTCCGAGTACTCTTCCAGTGAGGCCAGGCTGCCCGTGCAGACACCGAACTCATATTTCAGGAACTGGGGACAGCCTGTCCTGGGGACACAAGGGAAAGTTCTCAGGCCCCCAGATTCAGTACAGTCCCTAAACATGCCTTTTTAAAAATAGGCTGGAAGAGAGGATGCCTGGAGCTGAAATTCCAGGCATTGGAGGGAATGTAGCTGATCTTACCAGATTGGAACTATTAAACCAGCATGTATATAATGTACTCCCTGGACCCACCCCAGTATCTTTCCTATAAGCTTGGCCTGAGACCAGCCAAAACAGCAAGAAAAAAACAATGATTCCTTCTCTGCCACTGAGACGGGGCAAGCAGACCAAAGGGGCAGAGGACACGTGTATCAAGGAAGTTTCCAGTGCCAGCAACAGATAAGGCCTTCCTCTTAGAGAAACTGCTGTAGGACTGAAAGATTTTGGTTACAAGCCTCTTCTCCATTCACTTCCAGATCATTCTGCTGCGCCAGGCCAGGTGATGTGGCTCTGGAGATGAACAGGATACCAGCCCAGCCCGTAAGAAGCATGCAATCCGGCTGCGCTGAAAACAGACCCTTGCCTAACAGAACAGTGTGTTAATAGTTAGGAAAAGGAGTGACACAGAGAAGGGGGAGATCCATTTCCTAAGTGGGAGGTGCTGGAGCTGTGTCCTGAAGGATGAATAGGAGTTCACCAGTTGGACAAGGAGGAAAATATGTCCCAGGCAGAGGGAGCAGCGTGTGAATGGCACGGAGGTCTCAGGCACTGCGGCCCACTGGGTGATCTGCTCTAGGGGGCAGCACGGGAGGTGCTGGGGGAAACTGTAAGGAGCTGATCTCAGGCCCAGGTGGGGTCTCTGAAGGATTCTCCCACACCTGGGTCCACAGAATGATGACAACAGAATGTTCCTGGGGAGCTTTATCTCTGGGGAGAGGGCTGGGGATGACTGGAGTGCCAGGGGTGGGGGGAGACACTGAGCCAGGCCAGGTCACCACAGGTCTTGGTATCAAGCCACGGGTAGGAGATGAGAGTGGATGAAAGGAGAAGGGGTAGTTGGCGGGAGATCAGTTAAGATGTCCTAAGAGTCTAGGCGAGAGAAGGGTTGAGGGTGAGCTGGGACGGCAGGAGAAGCCTGCTCACAGGAGTTATAGAAGCAGGACCGGTAGGGCCATTTATTCACCACGTTAAAAGTCCGGGAGAACATACACCACAGTGTTAACAATGTCTATCTATGGGTATTGGTAATGCAACTGTTTTCATTTTCTTCTTCATCCTGTGCAGACAGGTTTCTGGCTTGAGTGGTGAAGTGGACAGATGGCAGTGCCAGCAGGATTTCTCCTGGGCTGGACTCTCTTGGTGATCCCAGTGATTTTTCCCAGGCAGGGGACAGGGACAGGGGTGAGAGTGGGAACAAGGGGAAGGGCAGCTCGTTCTTGAGCAAGAGTTAGGAGTGAGGCTCTGAGCTGGGCACTGTGGGGTGTCTGAGGCTGGACAAAGAGGTCTCTGGTGGCAGAGACACCCAGCATCCACATCTGGCCACTTCCAAGCTTTAACCCGGGTACCCCCAGCGCTTTACCTGGTGTCTGGGACTGCACCCAGGGTAGGCAGTGTCCACTTGCCTGGCTTGCTTTGGCCTAGCAGAGGCAGAGGGCCACTGTTGGCCTGGCAGAACCTTTCAAAGGCCAGAGTTAGGGATCTGGGTAGGACGACCACGCTGGCTGGCCGGAGCCCTGGGTTTGGTGACAGAAGGGACAGATACAGTCAGTTGCTTCTTGGTAAGAGTCTTTTAAAAAACTTAACATTTTATTATAGCGTAACACAGAAAAAATGCATATAAGTGTATAGCTTGATGAGTTTTCAGGAAATGAGCCTACCCACACAGCCAGCATCCTGGTCACGACGGAACATGATCAGCATTCCAGAAACTACGCCCCACTTCCAGCCATCACCCTGCCCCAGAGGAACCACTGCCCTGACTTCTCACACTACAGATTACATACTAGAATCACACAGTATGTGTCTTTTGAGTCTAGTTTCTTCACCAACAATATATTTGGGAGATCCACTTATGTTACTGTGTTTAGCAATAGTTGGTCACTCCCACCGCTGTGGTAAACTCACAGTGTGCTTACCCCAGACAACTGCTGATGGGCATTTGAGTAACTTCCAGTTTGGGTTTATTGCAAATGGTGCTGCCATGAGCCTTTTAACACCTGCATCTTGGGGCACACACACGGGCACTGCTCTTTGCATGCACACGGGGAATAGGGTGTATACAGGTCCAGCTTTAGCAGACACTGGTGAGCAGTTCCCAGTGTGGCTATACTGATGCCCCCTCCCACCAGTGTGTGTTCCTGGTTCCTCCATGTCTCTTCAGTACTTGCTGTTGCCCGTCTTTTTCATTCTGGCCATTCTGACAGGCGTGCTGTGGCATTGCGCTGTGGTGTTAATTTGCATCACCTTGATGACCAATGTGGTTGAGTGCCTTTTTACACATTGCATTGGCCATTTGGGTGTCCTTTTTGGGAAAGCGACTGCGCACTTCTTTTGTCCAGGCAGATTCTGGACTGAGCAGCTTCCCAGAATTCTTGACTCTCTCTAGAGAAACAGAGCCATAGAGGCGGACCCCTGCAGACATGCCACGACCTCCTCTGGGGGTAACCAGCCTTCCTCTGGGATGGGAAGTCCATTGGCTTTGGAGGTAAATAAACCTGTGTTTGACTCCCAGTTCTGCCCCTGACCAGTGGTGTGACCCCGGGCCTGGCTTTCCCATGTATTATATGGCAGTAATCACACCCACCTCAAAGAGAACCCCTGAATTCATTCCTGGGTGTAAATTCCCTAACACCCAGGAGTTCAGGAAGTAGGGGTTGGAGTTACATTCATTCAATAGAATCTTGAATAAACATTTAAAATTATGGTGAGGAAGAAATATATAATGATATTAAAAATGTTTGGTTAAGCCAGATGGTTAAAGGAACAATACGCTAGGTAACAAAATAGTATGTTTAGCATATTCTCTTATTTATAAAATCAGTGAGACAAGGAACTAGAAGAAAATATATCTACATGTTAACCATGGTTATCTCTCTAGGTGATTTTAATTTTCTTTCTGTGCTCTTCTCAATGTTCTAAAATTTATGCAATAAATAGGTACCATTCTGTAACTAGAGGAAAAAACAAACAAGAAAAGTCGTGTTTCCCAAAAGAAGGACTATTTCCTTTAAAAGGCCATCCGAGAGGAAAACATCACTATGTTCTTTGAAGAAATAACCATGGGTGGGGGCAATTCTCCTAAATGTCAGATTTGCTCTATCAACGTATGGACAGTTCTTTTCTGCAATAACAGTGTCAGCTAATATTTTCAAAGTGCTCACTGTGTGCCAGGCTCTCTGCTAAGAACTTTATTTATGTAACCACCTGCATTTTATATATGAGGAGAATAAGGCTCAGAGAGATGAGGTGACTTGCCCGGCATTACACAGCTGGCTTACGGCACAGCTAGGATTCAAGCCTGAGATGTGGACCCCTCAGTGCCTCTCAACCACCACCACCAGCCTCAGGCACCAGGCTGTCCTCGTATGGGTCTACGTCTCCGGCACCCTCCTGCTTGGGCATGATGGAGTAACGCAGACGCAACTGTCTCCAGGGAAAAGTCCAGGACCAGCTCCAAGTGCCGGAACTCACCATCTCAAACCTACCACCTGAGTGCCTAGCAAAGCTACACCAGACTGTCAAAGTGAAGGTGAACTGGTCGCCCCCAGCTGCTGAAATCCCGAGGAGTATGTTTAGCATATTCTCTTATTTATAAAATCAGTGAGACAAGGAACTAGAAGAAAATATATCTACATGTTAACCATGGTTATCTCTCTAGGTGATTTTAATTTTCTTTCTGTGCTCTTCTCAATGTTCTAAAATTTATGCAATAAATAGGTACCATTCTGTAACTAGAGGAAAAAACAAACAAGAAAAGTCGTGTTTCCCAAAAGAAGGACTATTTCCTTTAAAAGGCCATCCGAGAGGAAAACATCACTATGTTCTTTGAAGAAATAACCATGGGTGGGGGCAATTCTCCTAAATGTCAGATTTGCTCTATCAACGTATGGACAGTTCTTTTCTGCAATAACAGTGTCAGCTAATATTTTCAAAGTGCTCACTGTGTGCCAGGCTCTCTGCTAAGAACTTTATTTATGTAACCACCTGCATTTTATATATGAGGAGAATAAGGCTCAGAGAGATGAGGTGACTTGCCCGGCATTACACAGCTGGCTTACGGCACAGCTAGGATTCAAGCCTGAGATGTGGACCCCTCAGTGCCTCTCAACCACCACCACCAGCCTCAGGCACCAGGCTGTCCTCGTATGGGTCTACGTCTCCGGCACCCTCCTGCTTGGGCATGATGGAGTAACGCAGACGCAACTGTCTCCAGGGAAAAGTCCAGGACCAGCTCCAAGTGCCGGAACTCACCATCTCAAACCTACCACCTGAGTGCCTAGCAAAGCTACACCAGACTGTCAAAGTGAAGGTGAACTGGACGCCCCCAGCTGCTGAAATCCCGAGGAAGACAACCCCGTGTCTCAAGCAAGTCTGGAATGCTTCCAAAAATAATCTGGAGTGAAGCTGAAGGGAATTCAGCCAGCCGGAGGCCTCGCATTCCCTGGCCACCCCTTTCTGACCTCCAAAGCCCGTTGCAGAGCAAATTGGATTTTTAATACCGTAAATCAGGGAGGTATTACATGCACAGAGCTTCTTTGTTTCCTTTTTAATTAAATGTACTTCAGAGGGCACTGGGTTTTGTTTTGATCATCTCCACTGCTGGTCATGGAAGTCCCTGGACTGTTCCCATTAGTAATGGGACACGGACTCGAGGGCTGCGTGGTGTCTTTTTGGTGCAGGGTTGGGGGAGTGGAGGATGCAGAAGGGAGGGTATTTTATGGTCTGAGGTGATGCATTTGTCCCCTCAGACTCTTGGGCTCCATCTAAGGTTGTGATGGCTTTTTCTTGGTGGAGAGAAATGAAGTGAGTCTTCTGAGTCCTTTGAACCAAAAAGCATTTTTTTTTTTACTTAATGGCCATGTAATTTAAAGTCCTGGAAGACACAGTTCCAAACCACATTACCCCAGCTGCTCTGTAGAAGGACCTCCTTTCTGTAGGAGCATCCTGTGGTAGTGGCTGACTTGGTTTAAGCACCTTACCTACACCAGCTCTGTTGCTCTGCCCACAGCAATGGAGGGAAGGCTCTATTGGTACCGTCAGTTAACAGAGGAGGCTTAGAGAGGTCACCCCATTCACCCACTCCCGGGAAGGAGCCACCCTGGGACTCACACCAGGCTTCCGACACCATTCTGCTCCCTTGGCTCCCTGAGGTTCTAGGAAGCAGTGGCCGATCCCAGGTTAAGCTGAGGTTATCGTGGGTATGAAGGGTTGTGGCAGGCCATCACCTTGGTGGCTTTCTACAGAGCATGCTTCCCAGGGTTCACACTCTCAAGGAGCCCCTTTCCTGTTGACTCTGGCCTTGGCTGCATGCCTGCTTTGCTGATGGGACACCAGGAAATGTGATGCAAGCAGGCACTTGACATGTGCTTGTGCATTAGGGCTCATTTCTGGGAATGCTGCCTGGGAGTCCTGAGCTACTCTGTAAAGAAGTTTGGCCACCACTGTTGGAGAGGCTTCATAGCGAGAGAGGAAGGTTAGGCCAAGCCAGAGAGGAATGTTCCAGCGACCCCAGAGGACTCTCCAGCCATGCAAGGAAGAAGCTTCTTGGATGAGCTGGCTGGAGCAGACACCACATGGAGCAGAAGAACCACCCTGCTAAACCCAGCCACACTGCAGAATTATGAGAATTACAGTTTAAGCCACTAAGTTTGGGGGTGCTTTGTTATGCAACAATAAATAACTGTTAGCCCACAAATAGCAACAGAGGCCAGGCATGTCCCTAGACAATGAGCATTGTCCTTTGTTACTGTAAACCATCTGCAGGTTTCCCTTTGGCGATTCTACTGTGACCAGAAAAGCCTTTCTGCTTGCGAGATTTTGCTGGGACTCAGGTCAGTGACAATTTGGGTATATTTTCTTTTGTAGAACCTTTTAGAACCTTGGGTACCACTCTGGGGGACAGTGAGGAGATGGGTGCCACCTGGAGAAGACCAGGCCAATGTAGAGAGATTTGATCTGAATCAAAACCAGATGAAAATGCAGCATAATCTGGGGGCACTTTTCCCAGTGGGGACAACCCCTTTCATCACCCAAGTCCATCGCTGTCCCCCCTGCAGAGCTCTGGGAACTGAGCAGAAGTGGGTGGTGCTAGACCCAAATGAGGGGCTTCACACCTGGCTCCGGACCAAGTAACCAGTCCTTCTGGGGAATTATGCAGTGACCAGAGCTAAGTAACCTATCGCTTACTTCCTATCTCCCATGCAGAAGCTCTAATTCTCAGGAATTCCTGGGCCCTACACACTTGGCCTTTCCAGGGATTTATTTTTTCATGTTTTTAAACACGTGGCACCACTCACCGCCAGCCATGCTGGACATGTTTCTGATGCTTGATTTCTTCTGTAGAATCAAAGTCCTTACAGCGGAGGGAAGGCAGGACTTCAGGCAGATTGTGAAGGTCATCATGCTATCTGTGAATGGGCCAGAATCTGGGTGAGAGAAAGAAGGGGAAGAGGTGAGAAAGCAGAGCTCCCCTGAGGGCACAGAGCGGCACTGGACACCACCTCCCGGCAGGCTGTTCCTGGTCCCACCCTGAGTGGGCATCATCGGAAACAAGTTCTCCCGGCACTGCACATCTCGGTTTCTAACGAGAAACTCCCAACATTTCAGTACCTTTGCTTATGCCCTTCCCCTGGTCTGGTATGTCTTCCTCCCTCCCTCCCCCAAGGCCTTTGCGGTTGAACTGGTTCAGAATCTTTGTCCTGTACAGCAGCCAACAGGCTCACTGGCTGGCACTGGGCCTCCTTACCCCCAGGGCATTTTTCAAGGCACTGATTTCAGCCTGGAGTCACAGTTGGCTGGATGTTCTTTTCGACTCTGAACCCTCTTTCTGTCTCCCAGGAGACCCCGCATGCCTGAAGGGCAGGGCCACCGCTTAGGCCTCCTACAGGGCTTATCACCAACTAAGCGCACAGTACACACTAAAAACACCTATGAGCAAATGAACCAATGAGGGGCTGCCACATGCAATCACAAATGAAATAACAGGGCAGATTTTCTGTCTACATGTGACCTCTGTTGTTTAGATTTAGGTCTCCAGAAGGCAGAGAATTTACATTTTCTTCTTTATATCCCCCACCCTCCACTACTCTAGGCACATTGTCTTACACAGGTTTTTGGTGAATGAATTGATACAGTAGATTTAAAAATAAAGAGATGGTTCCCAAACTCCAGGAAATTACACTTAGAAAGGAATCCTCTAAGTCACTTCTTATACTCTAGAAAGAGAGGTTCAATGTGTCAGCAAAATCCAGATGGTCATATCATGTTAGCCTCCAAGGAACAGCGCATGTCCTCATCTAAACAGGCCACATGCCTGCCATAGTGCCTGGAACAAAAGTGGGAGTTCAGTAGATGTTTGTTGAATGACTGGCTGACAGCAGAATGGGTGAAAGCAGGATTCAAGGGCAGTCTCCATACTGAAGGTTTTGGATAAGCTTGACTGTCTTTCTATCTGAAGAGAAGAATCCAATGAGATTCCAAACCACCAAGGTGTATTTTCAACTCTACTTTCATAGATAGGAAGCCATGTAAACCCCAGGGCCACTTTAGTGAATAGTTTGAGATCACGTAAAGTCTCTAACAAACAAAATATTAAGAATGTTGCCCTGGGCGGTGTAGAGATGTATTTTAAACTGACAGTGAGTGTTTTAATAGCTGCAGAAACAAAGTTCTTTGGGGACACAGAGGAGAGGACAATCAGTCCTGGAGGGCTGGGCTGGAGGATGCTGGCGGGGTCAGGTGGGGTTGGATTCCATTCCCCGGTTGGAGAAGCAGCTGCTCTGGCAGGTCAAGGCTGTGTTTGCCTGCTGTACTGGGAGCGCCTGCCTGGACTGGTAGGCCTGACCCCTTGACCAAGCTGCTGAGGTACTAGCTAAGGCCCTGGATGTCTATGGCTCCTCAGGGTTACTGCGGAGGGCTTAGCACCTCAGCCTGGCACTCAGCAAAGATCAGAGAACCACTCTACAGCCACGTGGGGACAGTGGCCAGACCCCTCTGGTAATTGTCCTCAACTCATATGTGGAGGAGAGAATGGAGTTTACCCCAAATCCACTGAAGTGAGAGACCCTACAGGTACTCACGCGTTAGCCCTCGCCGCACCCTCCCACCCATCCCACCCACTATTACTCTATAAGGCAGAAGTGGAAGCTGGGTGTTGTTTTGCAAATAAATTGTAGCCAGAAGACCAAAATCTGAGGATGACTGCTTTTCCTTTCCTTTATTTACTTGTTGTTTTAATACAGATTTAGGTGGATCTAGGTCATTCCTGTAAAATGTTGCTTTCCTGGCCTGGAGTTAAATGAGTGTAGCTGGAAATCCTGCTCTGTGAAGAGTACATTGGAGCGGGCCAGGCACCTGAGTGCCATCCACATGCATGCTGGGAGGGAAGGAAGGCTGAGAACCTGTACCTTACAGACTTTTCCCCTTGAAGGCAGCAGTCATGCTCATTGGCTCCTGCCAAAGAAGTACCCTCAATACACCAACCAGAGAATGCCTAGTTATGTGATAAATGACAGCAACTACCACCATATATGAGACCCCGTTGCATGCTGGGCACTGTGCCAGGCCCTTTACCCTCACTGGTTTAGAACCATTTGTTCCTCAGCACTGCCCCACAAAGAAGACATTGCCAACCCATTATAGAAAAGAAATGGGGCTTAGGGAGGTCAAAGACTTTGCCTAAACTCCCATAACTAGTAAGTGGTAGAGCCCAAATCCAAAAGCAAGTCTAAGTTCATGTTTGCTTGACTGATATTTACCTATCTCTGTATCTATTCATCCATCCATCCATCCATCCATCATCCACCCCCTTGTGTTAATAGGTATCAAGTTCTTTGTAGGAATAGCGAGGACCTTCCTCCTTTCCCCCGTATGGTGATTCTGGGGCCAGAGTCTCTTGAGTCCATGTTTCTTTGAGGACTGAACCCTGAACTTCTCAGCTTTTCAGAAGGGCCTCCAGTGAACTCACTGCTGAGTGGCCTGGAGTGGCCCAACTGCGTCACTGTCCACTGAGGTCTTCTCTAGAAGTAAGGTAAGATGGGATCTAACTAGTGAGCCTTGGTCAGATTCCAAGAAGACACCTTTTTGTGATGAAGTCTCTCTTTTCTTTATAGAGAAAAACAAACTGTCAAACCCACAAATATCATTCCTTGACATCATATATACTAGAGAGGGAGCCCACAAGCCATCATCAATCCTTAGCAGGATTGGACACACCCACAACCCAGTATAAAAATATTTCATCTATGCCTGTCACAGATGACTAAAATTCCACCATTAGAAAGTCATTTCTCTGCTTTACCCAAGCAATCCAATTCTAGGAATGTACCCTCCAGATGGGCTCAAACAGTGGGTGGAATGATGGGAGCATATGGCAGTACTGTTTGCAATAGAAACAATTTAGAAGCAAGCCAACAGAGGTTGATTAAATACATGGAACACTGGTTAAACAGAAGAGTAGTTAAACTATGGTACACCCATACCATAAAATGAGATACTATGTGACCATTAAAAGGAATGAACCTGCTTTATACATCTCATATAAAACAGTCTCCCAAACAGGTAAAATGAAGAAAACAAAGTGGAGAATTTGTTGTTGAATAACACACCCACAATCTCTTCAAATGCATGTTGACCATCTCTAGAAGGATGAAGCACAGCCATCAGTGGTGCTTGCAGTGGGGGAAACTGGGTGGATGGGGCCTGAGCAGAAGCAGTGGCTGCCACACTCTATTTAATGTGGCTGACACCTCTGGAGTTGCGCCATGGTATGGCTCTGATGGAAGAGGGACTTCCGGCAACTTTGAATAGTATGGTATGTAAATATTACTTACTTAAAAATGGACTTTAATTTAAATATATATAAGGAATGTAGAATTGGGTCCTTTTTAAAGAAATAAAACATTCTGGTAAAGTAAGTCATTCCTTATACTTCTGACAAGTATAAGGAGGGTGGGAAGGGAGGGTCACTGACAAGTTTTCATTCATTCAGGAAATACTTACTTAGTCCCAACCATGTGGGGTATGCTAAGTTCACTGAGGTGGATAAAACAGAACTTATCCCCATGTAAGAGGCGTGCACAGCTGGGAGAGTAAACACTGTGGTGATGATAATAATAGTTCTGCTTATTGAGCACCTGCTAGTGTCTAGTGTCCAGGCACAATCAGCCATCCATCAGGCAACAGATATCACAGCACAGAGCACAGTTTTGGGGAAGACTGTCTCGATTCTAAACCTGCCCCTTTGCTTAGGGGGGGATCATTAATCTCCCTTTGCCTATTTTCTCCTCTGTAAACAGGGACTAATAACAGAATGTCCCTCATTGAGTGTGGGAAGGATTAAGTTAGCCAACACATGTGTGAGGCTCTTAGGACAGTTCTGGCGGGGCCACGGCTACTGCCATGCACTGTCGCCTGTGTTTATAACTCCTCAGCCAGCGGGCTGCAGATACAGTGGGGAACATATAGCCCGCGCACATTCACAGGGGGGCCTGCCATCCCTAGAGACAGACACTAAACACATAATTACCACCGTGTCTGTCTTCAGTAACGTTAACACCATGCACTGAGTGCTCCTGGGCCACGTGGGCCGTGGGTAGAGGAGGAGAAAGCACTGAGTCTAAAAGAAAAGGTAGGAGTCAGACCAGCAGTATGGGCAGGGGGGGCGCTCTGGGCCAGGGGACAGCACGAGCAAAGGCCAGTGGAGGAAACCTGCTTCGTGCCCTGCTCGAATACTCGATGCAAGAGGGAGCAGGGGCTAGGAGGGTAACTAGAGGCCAGCTCCTGAGGGGATTTGGATTTCTCTTGAGGGTGATGGGAAAATCATGTTGTTCTCAGCAGTAGAGTGACTTGGCTTTAATAAAGATGGCTCTGGCTGCAAGCGGGGCACACACTGCAAGTCAGGCAAAGCGGGGGGCTGGCAGATGAGATGGATGGCCAGGCCAGAAAGATGCGCACATGGTAAGTCCCCCTCCCACAGCAAACCCTGCAGGAGAGAGGCTGCTTTAACCCTTCGTGTGCCCCGCCGGACCAGCCGGTGGTCAGCTTGCTTCAGGAGAACAGCCATGTTCGCTCCAGGATCACACAGGGGGATTTTTTATTCTGCCTTCATTTTGGCTGGGGCAGGACTTTTGATCTGTTTTATCCCTTGTGGTATCTCCAGCACCCACAAAGGGCCAGGCACATGGAAGGCACCCAATAAGTGTCCACTGTTGGGTGGGCAGAGCAAGTGGCATGCATGAAGGCAGCTGAGATGAGGCAGCCAGGGAGGCAGGAGGGAAACCCTGTGACTCAGAAGCCAAGAGAGGCTAACGTGTCCAGGCTAAAGCCCAACAAGCAGCTGTCAGATTCCGGAAGTCTGGCTCTTTTTCCCTTCCTTCCATGGCAGAGTCTCCCAGCTCTGCCGACCAACAAGCACGGAGAGCACCTG